CAAACACCAACAGTACACCAGTTCGTGGCGCTTCACCCAATTAGGATACATGGACCACCCCTGGCAAGTATCTCGACCGTGGCTGGCCTGTGGTTATCATTCTTTTTGGACTTCTTGGTTGAAAATAATGATTCGGTGAGTCGCTTGAATCTGATAAGAGTTCAATAACAACACACTTATCTGATCTTCCTTTGCTTGTACCCCTTTTCTTTCTATTCTTTTCCAATCTCTATCATCAACATCAATGGCACCCTCCAAAAAAACTCCCAACAGTTCAACCCAGATCACGCTCCAGGTTCCCAGTCAGGTTTCATCGAGACAACTCCGTCCACCCAGCCCTGACCGACAAAAGGAAGGTTTTATCGTTCCTCCAAAAGACTCACGTGCATCTCTTTCTGTTGATGAAGATGAGGAGGGATCACCTGAAGGCCCCCTTTCTAATCGATTGGCCTCACCTCGACCCCCGGCTTCATCAAACAACAAGAAAAAAGACGCTCCAGCACAAGTTCAACCCAACGCAAAACCTACCTCACAACAAAAAGTGAGTCTTTTTATTCTAATCAATATGTTAATCAATATTGATTGACTAACTTTTATGTTTTGGACTGTTATTCTAGTCACGTTCTTCAACCAGCAAATGAACCAGATCACCGTCTGGTAGTGTAGGAACAGCCTCACCTCAAACATCTAAGAGATCCAAATCGGACAAAACTGACGTAAGTCAAGGCTCTCAACTCACATGCTTTTTTGAATATCTCATTTCACTATTGCTTTTACAATTTTATTTAGGCCTTTGAGGTCCCAGACAAGTTGGATCTCGATCAGGATTCGGATGTAGAGTTTGTCAGTCAGATGGAACCTGGATACAACACGGTTCGATCAGCCCGTGTTCAGGACCTGCTTACTTACTTTCATCGGCCTAAAGTAAGTACATCTCTTTTCTGTTTTTGTCAACAATATCGCATTCAGTCTGTCATGCACGTAGCTGACTCAAGATGCATTTCATTAGGGTCCACTGTACAAGTGCAAATGGTGTCCTAAGTCGTACAGTGCCGGGGACAAATCATTCTGGGGTCTTTGGCGCCATCGCGATGGAGGCGAAGGTCGACCTCAATGCCCGAACCGTCACAAAGTGATTGCTGCCGGTGTCCAGCTTCCCCCTTCATACACAGAACGAATGCAAGCTGAGAAGAAGCCAGAGAAGCAAGGAAAGTCAAAATTAGATTCATATCTTTCTGGACCCAAGTTTTCACCCGATCTCCTCAACATGATCCTAGTCATGTGGGTAGTTCGGCATGCTCTACCTTGGATCAGATTCGAAGACCCGCTCCTACGAGCAGCATTCAGTAGCGTAAATCGAGGTGCTGTGGTCCGGTCAAAAACGTGGGCAACACAGCAATCGGTGCATTTGTTTGCTGGATTGCACAACAAGGTGATTGAAACACTTCAAGTAAGTGTTGTCCGCTTAACATTTTCACTTACATTCAATTTGTTATGTTTCTAAAACTCTAAATTGTTTCATTTGGCACGTCAATAGCAAAACGAAGGCAAGTTTTGCCTTATCCACGACGTCTGGACCACTAAAGGCAACCGATTTGCCTTTGTGGGCGCATCAGCAAACTACATTGACAACACTTGGCTACCTGAAGGAGGCTCAATCCACGTTGCTTTAGGTGACATAATTGATAGGTGAATGAATAAAGGTGCCAACCCCAGCGCTGATAGAGTGGGAACTCCTTGAAGGTGGGCGTGAGAAAGGGTGGAAACCTCCTTTTCTCACCTACTTAGGTTTGAGGGCGCTCCCACCCCTTTTTTCAAAAAAAAACCCGCTCCCAGGCGCTGCTCAGGGCGCCAAAATCGCGCCGCGCCCACCACCTGAGATGGCTGACGAGATGCAATCGATGTTCCTGAAAGCTGAAGATCCGATCTATTGGAATGCTTCCGGCCATCACATGCGATGTTATGCGCACAAATTAAACTTGACAGTTGGCCATGGCTTGAAAGCTCTAGGTCAGAAGGTAGGAAAATCAAAACCAACAACTCCCAATAATGTACTTCTCCCAATTCCGGCTCTTGAGGTAAATGATGGCAATGGCGACGTTCAAGTAGATGATCCTGACTCAGAAGAAGATGAAGCTGATCTTCCAGAGAAGCCTGATGGAGTTGATGACAAGGATGATGTTTCTGATGAAGCCAGTAAGGATGTGCCCGAGGATGTTGTTGCGTTGGCCCTTGTCAAGGTAAGTAGCCATTTTAATCTTTTTGTATGTTCCTGTCTAAAGGTCAGCGCTAATACCTTTTACATTTTCATGTAGGTCGATACAATCTCTGGCCAAATTGCTAGTAGTGCGGCTCGCCGCAATGATTTCAAGACGCGTGCAACCCGAATGGGTTACCAGGGTCGCATGCTTAAAAGACCTTGTAAGACTCGGTGGAACAGCCATTACGAGAGTAGGCAGATAGCTTTGGAGGCTCAAGAGGTAAGTCTTCATCCTTTTTTCTATTCATTCAATCTATCTTTATTTTTCAATTCATTTCTTAAATTATGCTGATATATATTTATCATTTCAGATCATCAACTCGATGATTGCCGCCAATCGGAAGGCTTGTTTTTTCAAAGGTGTTACGATATCACCTGAAGAATGGCATGCTGTTGAAATGGTAAACAAGGTCCTGAAGGTCAGTCTGCCTTTCATTACCTTAATATGTATTGAAAGTGATATACTAACAATTTCACTTGCTAGACCTTTGTCGATGCAACATCTTGTGTTGAGGGCAATGGCCCTACTGGCTGTATATTGCTACAAGAGTATCGACGTGTAATATCGGAGCTCAAGTCCCATCAAGACGAATCATCCACCTTTCCCAGTCTCAACAACTCTATCAACATCATGATTGAGTGGCTTACCAAGTATCAAGAAGAGGCGGCAAACACTGAAGCCATTGTCTTGGCAACAATTCTCAATCCTCGCTTCCGTGGGAAATTTTTCACCATTCATTACCCCAATTATGAAGCCTCGGCCCTTTCAGCTATTGAAAATGCTTACTCCACCGAGGTAGAAGCATCACAGGTACGCATAGGAAGCCCTCCACCTGACACCACCAACTGTGATAATGCCGAGGTAGATGAATTCAATATCTTTGGAGTGGCGAACGGAGGCACTGAGACTTCGCATAAGTCTGAGCTGGAAGAATACATGTCTGGACGCTTCCCAATCAAAAAGGAGCAGACACCGCTTGGTTGGTGGAAGGTGAGCCCGAGTATTTTTATTGTTGATCTTAGCCAAGCTAACATTCATTTGTTTATGTTTTATTTGTATTGTCATTCTTAATTCACAGGATCATGCACACCATTTCCCAACCCTTGCTAAACTTGCACGCGATTATTTAGCCATCTCAGCCACTTCATGCGCATGTGAGCGGACCTTCTCAGCGGCCGCCGATGTTTGCACACCTTCAAGGGGCAGTATGCTCCCAAAGACAATGGAGCGTCTGGTGGGGTCTCAAGCGTGGATGAAAGAGGGAATTGTGCCGGATGGGATTTTTGAGGAGGCGTCACAGGCAGTTGAATCCTATATAGCAGGTCTGAAAAATAAAAAAAAAGGATAGGTTCTCATCAAATTAATTACTAAATTAAAAGAAAGGTACTAGTATCACAATTTAAAAGGAAAGGATTCAGTTTATCTATTCAAAGTCTCTATGCTAGTGATAGTTATATCATCTATTATACAAATATGTTACTCAATTTCTTATGCTTGAAAAAAAAATTATGTTCAGTCTTTTTCTCACTGATCCAGCGCTCGAAGGCGCGGTGCGGAGCGCTAGCGGAGCGGTTTTACCGCTCCGCTCCACCGTGAGCCCCAAAAAAACAAAAAAGCGGAGCCGGCGCGGAGCGCCTGTGCGCAGCCACTCCGCTCCGCACCCAAAACTGGTCAAAATCCAGAGTGGTGTGGAGCGGTTCCAGTATTGCACCAGGTGTCAGTTGATCATGTTGGCAATTGTCACGTGTTGGCTGGACACAGACCTTGTGGTACAAGGCTTTTCATCGGCAGTCCCTGTGGTGGTAGAATAAACTATCCTTCAGATATCTGACAAAATGTGGTTTTTCCCACGCTCACATCCCCCCAAACCGGCCGGTTTATCCTCATTTGGTGCAAATTTTGGATTTCTGATCAGAATTTTAGACAACTCAACTGGAGGTGTTCTACACATGACAGAAAACTTTGACTGCAATTGAAAGCCTCATTAGATGATCAAGTTTTATCAAAGATCAAATGCTGTGCACTCTGCAACTTCCTGACAAAGAGTATTTTTGACGAAAAAATAGTGCATTGGCAGCTTTTATAGCTATGAGATACGTGATCACATGAATGTCAGCTAGTGTAAAACGGGCTGCAACGGCTACTGACTAGATGTATCTTGAGAGGGATTTCAAGACTTCAAGTTTTTTCGAATATGATGGTTGGGAGGTCAGAACAAAGCTTGTCATCTTTCACCGCTTGTTGATTCACTGAGGATCATGAACATTCCCGAACTCCAAGCCCCGACGTGATGAGACTGGAAACCGATTTTGAAAAACATACGAACACCATAGGTTCATTTTGTTCTTGTCGCCAAGTAAAAACCCTGACTCGGCCTTCGCCGGTCTATCGAAACACCTAAGGAAGTTGATCGAGTGAAATGATAAAACTTCCTAAAGATTGTCAACCAGATGAACTGACTCATTTGATTCTTCAGCTGGATAAATTTTTGAAAAAAAGATATAGAAGAAAAATGCGTTGGATTTGTATACATAAACAGGCCTCTTTCATCGTTCCTCATGCACATACAACATCCGTTCTCTCCAGAAAAATCAACCCACATATATTATCATCATTCCATTTTAGTTTACCTGTTATTATCATCTGATCTCCCTTCTCATATATTTGTTTTTTATCAACGATCAATTTTTATAAAACCTCAACCTTCAAGGAAACAATTATCAAATTTTCTCAATCAACATGACTACTACAAACAACAACTCTGTTCCCAAAGTTTCAAAAGTAGACGTCTTGATCATTGGAGCTGTTAGTACATCTTGAAGAAATTCTTTTCTTTCATCCAACTGATCAGATCCTCATGTCCTTATTTGTAGGGCCCAGCAGGACTGATGGCGGCTACCGGTTTGACTAAGTATGGCATCAATAACATCAGAATTATTGATAAACGATCTACCAAGGTAAATTTGAATGCTTCAAATCAACACAACCAAAATAGTACATTGATCATTTTTTGGTTGTTCCTCTTACAGATCTACACAGGCCAAGCGGATGGATTAAATCCAAGAACCTTAGAGGTGCTTATCTTATGATTATCTAAATTTATCGAGCGAAGAAATTAATCAATGTTGATATAATCCTTCTCCCGCTAGATTTTCCAAGCGTTAGGGATCGGTTCTGAGATTGCACATGAAATGAACACATTTGGTGAAGTCTGTCATTGGGAACCAAATGCTAGTGGTGAAATCAAAAGAACCGCGAGAAGCTCAGTTGTAAGTTTGAAGAGAAATTGGAAATTCTATAGAATACCACCGAAATATTGATGTTTGGTTTTCTTTTCAAAGAGTCCACCCGGCATCTCAAAATTCCAATCATCTTGTTTACATCAAGGTAGAATTGAAGAACATTTAATGAATAATATCGCAAGATGGTCAATGTCAGCAAGACCAACCAATGATGGCTCAAACCAATCACCAACTTCAAAGAAAGTCATTGTAGAAAGAGCAGTTTGTCCAGATTCGATCCACTTACCGCCAATTACATCTTCGCCATTATCAGATAAAGATGAAGATCAAATCACATTAACATTACGACACTTGTCAGAATCTGAAGCTAAACCTGCACAATTCTTACCATCCACAAAAGATGGTCTCTTTAGATCCAATGTATTCGATAGCGAAGCCTCAGACTTAGATTCCAATCCCAATGGCTTACCCGCTGAAGGAAGCTTAGAGACTGTTCAATGTAAATTTGTTATCGGTACTGATGGAGCTAGATCTTGGACTAGAAGCGCTTTGGGATACAAATTAGTCGGTGATAGTTTAAATTACTTTTGGGGTGTTCTAGATGGAGTACCTGCTACAGATTTGTAAGTGAAATTTTCCACACATCAACATCAATAGAAGCGTTGATCAAAATTCTCCCTCTTTTCGAAATAGTCCTGATATCAGAGGGGTATCTCTCATACATTCTGCTGAGAATGGCTCATTGATGATCATCCCACGCGAGAGAAATTTGGTCAGACTTTACATCCAATTACCTCAACCTATTCCAGGTCAAAGACCAAATCGAGATGATATCACCCCAGAAAAATTGTTACAAGTGACCAATTCGATCATAGCTCCGTATACTCTCCGTATGCCTAACGTTGATTGGGTATGTCTCTTCTTTCAAATCACTTTATCACAATACACAATCTGATTGATTTTCTCCTTAAAATTGATTTTGTCAGTATACCTGTTATGAGATCGGTCAACGGCTTGCCGATTCTTGGCATTGGAACAACAGGGTCTTCATCGCGGGCGATGCTTGTCATACCCATTCACCCAAAGCAGGTCAAGGCATGAAGTAAGCCACAATCTCAGAATTCTGTCTTCACCTTTCAAGAAGCCGTTGTTCTGTTGGATCTTTAACTGATGGATCCCCGTTTCTTTTTTCCTTATAGTACCTCTATGGCCGACACGTTCAATTTAGCTTGGAAGTTAGCTCATGTTTTACAAAAGAAAGCTGACCTTAAGATCTTAGAAACTTATGGAGTTGAAAGATCAAAACTTGCACAAGAATTGATCACATTTGATCAAAAAGTAAGTTCAAAACCTAACGTTCTTGCTTCAGGCCAACAAAAACCTAACGACCATTTTTTGTCTTTGGATCAGTTGTCGAGTCTATTCTCAGGAAAACCAGCTAAAGACAATGAAGATTCGAATGGGATTTCATTAAAAGAATTTCATCAAACCATTGAAAAATCGAAACATTTTATCAGTGGTACAAGTGTCAATTACGATTCAAATATACTGATCTTTAAAGGAGATGACATAAATTCTATCATCAAATCAAAACCAGAGTTAGCAAAACATACACCGATTGGAACCAGACTTTTATCAAACAGAGTAGTTTGCTTATCAGACGCCAACGTTTCTGAAACATTGGATTTAATTCCTGCAGATGGTAAATGGAAGGTCTTGATCTTTCCAGGTGATATCCAAGCAAATGAAGATTGCAAAATCAAATTAGATCAATTATCTGATTTCTTAGCTAATGATAAAACGAGCCCAATCCAACGATTTACTCCTGTTGGACAAGACACTGATTCGGTTATAGATTGTATTACTATTGTATCTTCATCCAGAACTGCATTAGAATTAACTCAATTCCATCAAATCTTAAGACCTCTTCAAGGTCCACATCGATTTGGTTCTTACAAGAAAATGTAAGCAATCTCTCCCTTGATGCCAATTGATTTTATAGAACCTAATCGCCTTTGTACTCTGATTCATTTAGATTTACAGATGAAGAAAGTTATCATGAAGGTCATGGTCATGCTTATGAGAAATATGGTATCAATCCAAATGTAGGTTGTATCATTGTTGCTAGACCGGACCAACATGTTTCATTAATCTTAGATTTAAATGATCATCTCGCATTGAGTAAGTTCCTTCTAATCATCATAAACTCATTTCCTTTGACTACTTCACTCATTATTCTTTTTCATTCCTTAGGTTCATTTTTTGAGCAATTTATGATCTCACCTCATTTTACTCCAAGTTCCTAATTCCTTTCAGTCCCAATTTCACAACTTGTACAAAGGTTTTTTTCCTTCACCGTTTATCTATTTTGTTTTAACTAGCTCAAGTTTCATTCTTCTAGAAGTTCTTTTTGTTTGTCAATACGGAGCATTGTACTTTTTGAAACTACTTTATGACAATTATACATTGCACAATTTCTGACCTCACAGCTCAACTTAACCGAGTTACTCTATGTTTTGCTTTGAAGACAATTGTTTTCTTGGTTGATAATGAAAATGACGTCTTGATGAAACAATTCCTTTCCAGAGTCATTTTTTTCCTACTGCACATCACCATTCAAAACCTAAATCATTTCAGTATAATTTGACTTTAGCTTCTTTTGAAGCTTTTTTGATATCCATTTTTTTCATTTGACATTAGAAAAAAATCAATCCTTCGCGCGTAAAAAGGCTTCACAAATCTCAATTGCTATGAGATACCTAAAACAACCTCTTTAGGTTCTGAAAAGCGACAAATCTCCTTTGTCGAGATACCTGAATTCCCGTGACAGTTTCTAGAAGTGAGTCTCAATCACTTCTCGTCACAATACCTGAAACACTAACCTGAATTCCCGTGACAGTTTCTAGAAGTGAGTCTCAATCACTTCTCGTCACAATACCTGAAACACTAACCTATAAGGTTTGTTCAGGTCACAATATAAAATAAGGAAAAGGGTCGACGCGATGAGTTCAGTAAGATTCTTTTCCTTTCCGTAAGAAGACGGATCAATTTCACCTGAATTCCCGTGACAGTTTCTAGAAGTGAGTCTCAATCACTTCTCGTCACAATACCTGAAACACTAACCTATATAGAACAAAAGATAGAAATAGACAAGTACAAAAAGGACACTACTTGTTAGATGAAGAGAATAGAAAGAATAGACCAGTTGACTATGTATCTGACCTATAAGGTTTGTTCAGGTCACAATATAAAATAAGGAAAAGGGTCGACGCGATGAGTTCAGTAAGATCTAGCGTCGACAATGATTCAGATGAAAAAGAAAAAGATAACATCACAGTATGATAATTAGTAACAGTCATATTGAAGATCAAACTAATGGAGAGTAGAGACTATTGATGATAATGTAGTGAAGGGGTTGAACTTACTCTTTTCCTTTCCGTAAGAAGACGGATAAAGGAAAAGAGTATTAGCGCGAAAAGGGGGAGGCGCAATTTAAATAGGGATCATTTAAGTTTGAGTCTGACATCTTAAGTTTGAATAAAACTACTGTATTTTAGTATGTAAAGTGATTTGATACTTAGAGTCTTATTCACCTTTCACCACGGCTGAAACCTAGGTACGAGAGACTGAGGTGTCTCTCAACACACCCCCTGTTTCAGCTGTCCGTGTATGACTTCTAAACCAATTTGATGACGCAATTCCTTGAATGGTCCGGGGTGAAGTGGTTTTGTTAATGTATCAGCAAACATGTTCTTTGTACTAATATGCCTAAGCTTGATTAAATTCTTCTCCACTTGTTCTCTTATCCAATGGTACTGCACTTCTATGTGCTTTGTTCTTGCGTGAAAAATAGCTTTCTTGGTCAAGGATACTGCACCTGTACTATCGCTGCATAGAACCGTGGCTTCAGATTGAGGTAGTGAGATGTTTGACAATAATCCTCTAAGCCATACTACTTCTTGACCAGCCTCTGTTGTAGCTTTGTATTCGGCCTCGGTTGATGATAGAGAAACGGTGGGCTGTAAACGACTTTTCCAACTTACAGCAGCTCCGTTAAGTTTGAATAGATAACCGGTAGTTGATCGTCGTGTGTTTGGATCACCAGCCCAATCTGAATCAGTGTGGCATTCAGGATAGCACCAGCTCTGATTCCCTTCGATAACATTGTCTTGAGGTGAATAATGTAGTCCTAAGCATTGAGTACCTTTCAAATATCGAAGTACGTGTAATCCCATCTGCCAGGCTATAGTTGAAGGTCGTGAAAGATGTTGAGACAGAGCACCTACTGCATAAGCAATATCCGGCCTTGTACCCTGAGCAATGTACATTAGGCTACCCACCAAGCTGTTATACGGAAGGTTAGATTGTTTGAATTCGATAACGTCAGAGTCGGTGGCTTTCATGATCTTTGTGCCGCCTGGAAAAGGAGTCGAAGCTGGTTTGCTATCTTCAGCATGAAATCTTTCCAGTACCGTCTGGATGAAAGCTGATTGACTTAAAGCATAACCCCCATTGTCTGTGGAGTAGATCTCAATACCAACAACGCAATGTGCCGGACCCAAGTCCTCCATCTTCCACTTCATCTTCAGCAGGGATTTGATTTCATCTATTTTATCTCCGGTGATTGCCATATCATCGACGTGGAGGTAGAGTAAAGTTTCCAAACCTTCTTCATCTTTACCATACCAAAGACAAGCATCATGGGGGTTTTGAATTAGACCAATACTTAATAATTTATCTTTAACTTCGTCACTCCAGCATCTAGCGGACTGCTTGAGGCCATACAACGCTTTCTTCAGTCTAGCTACCTTCCCGTTTGCTCGCTCAGAGTCGTATCCTTCAGGTAACTCCAGATAAATTTCCTCCTTGAGATCACTATTGAGAAATGCGGCTATAGCATCCATTTGCTCAATAGACCAATTCTTAGCTGCTGCAACTGCTACAAGGATACGAAATGAAGCTAGACGGCCAGTGGGTGCGAAAGTATCATTGAAATCTATGCCTTCCGTTTGAGTATAACCTTTTGCTACATATCTTGCCTTATGTTTAGATATTGTACCATCGGGATGAACTTTATATTTGAAATGCCAACGCCCACCTACTACAGGTGCATTCTTTGGTCGGTCCACAATTTCCCACACTCCCATGTTCATAATGTTCTGCATCTCCTTGTCACACGCAGCTTTCCATTTGTCAGCATCGGGCATCTTCATAGCCATTTTATAACTCTTTGGTTCAGCCCTAGCCTTCATAGCTTCTCGACACATGTACACTTTTGATAAGTGAGAGGATTGTGAGATTTTTGGTACAAAACTTCTCATAGGTGGAGCTTCAGCCCAGTCTGATTCTCCTGGAGCGTAACGCTGGACAGGACGACGATCGCGAGTTGATCGTCTAGGCTCATCTTGCACGGATGGTTGAATAGTTGTTGTCTGGTCTTTGGTATTAGAGATTGGATCTTCTTCAACGGGAGGTTCATCCTCATGATTAATCGGAGGGGTTTCTAAGATAGTCTTAGGAGTGAGACTCTCCATCAACATATCATCTTCGTCATCCGTTAAATCAGGACGAGTCATAGTGTTCTCGTTTGGTTCATTTTCTGGCTCGTTCCTTTCTGTGGGTTCAAGCGGCAGATCTTCGATAAACAACCAATCAGGGTTGTCTTCGGCATCCTTAAGAAAAGGGAAAACAAGGGGTTGAAAAGTCACGTCGTGACTGGTATGGATTTGATTTGATTCTTGGTCCAAGATAATGAAATTGTGATTATCCTCCGCCACTCCAATCAGGATACCTGGACGAGAGACAGCCTCAAACTTTCCTCCTCGAATTTCTTTTCGAATGTGGCGGTAAGCAAGGCACCCGAAAGGAAGAAAGCGTTTCAAACTCGGTTGTCTTCCTTTCCAGAGGGCGTAGGGAGTAGTTTTAAGATTCAGTGAAGTTGTGATAGTTCGATTCTGTAACATGACAGAATATGAGACCGCGTGATACCAGTATTTAATTGGTATGCATGACTGTATCATCATGCAACGAGCTTTTGTGTTGATTGTTCTATTTGAACGCTCAGCCACGCCGTTCTCTTCCGGAGTGTGAGGAGACGTAACACGAGTGATGATACCCAAGTCTTCCAGGTATGGAGTAAGGAGCCCGTTGATGAACTCGCCTCCTCCATCAAATGAGAACATCTTAAGTTTCTCACCCGTCTGTCTCTCGGCAAAACTGATGTATCGTTTGAAGACTTCAAAGACGGTCTCGGCACTTTTGTCTGGTAGGCCAAAAGAGACTCGGTAACTACTATAATCGTCTGTGAACAATATATAGTATTCCTCTTGGTTGACAGAAGAAGTTCTAATTATTCCACTCAAATCCACGTGCACATTTTCTAGGAATTTGATAGCTCTAGGCCTAGTGGATGAAAATGGTAGGCGATGATTTTTCGCTAAAGGACATACTGGACATCTTGTTATTATTTCAAAATCATTTGTAGTGACAGTTTTAGGAAGTACATCATCAAGATAACCAAGGCTCCACATTCTTTTTAGGTACTTTTCACTTGGGTGGCCTAATGAATAGTGTAGTTTCAAAATTGTGAGTTGATTCGACTTTGATATTGATGATAGATGTGAACGATGACTGACCGGTGATCTTATGGCCACGTACATCATACTGCCTTCTCCGATAAATTGTCCTATGAATAGCTCCTTCTTCCCATGATCGATTCGAAAATGAGGATCTTCTAGCACAGTCGTAACAGCACCAGCTCTCAGCAAACGACCTCCAGCGATGAGGTTTCGGGATAAATCGGGTACATATAAACAATCCTTCAGCTTGATGATTTCTCCTTTAGAATTTAATAAGTTTACATTCCCAATTGAGTGGATATCGAGAGTAGCACCTCCTCCGGCGAGATTCAATTTAGCACCGGGGTCATGATTTTCCATTAATGTAGCGGATTCGAATAAGCTCGCATCATGAAACATGTGATGCGAAGCTCCGGTATCGATCAGAGCGACTGAACCACATTTATCTCCAGCACAGGTTACTTGAGGATCGGCCGAGCATGAAAACTTTCCATCAATCTCTACTCGGTAACTAACTTCTCTTTCTTCAAGTTTGAGATTTTCAAAAGCCATATCGAGTTCTTCTGAATTTGGGAAATCAGAAAGATTAGAATGATGATTTAATCCTCTGGCTAGATGAGCACCTCGGCCACCGCGACCTCTACCACAAAAACCACCACGACCTCCACCACGGCCACCACGTGGATACTTGATCCATTCTCCAGATTCTTGTTTGGATCGTTTCCATGACTCCATTTTGCTGGCATTGTTAGGGTGATGGTAACATTCCAACTGATCGTGAGGTTTTGTTGGATGGTCCTGACCTAGGCATTTAGTCTTACTGCAAGTTTGCCATCTTCCAGTCCGGCGGCTTTGACTGGCTTCGGAAGATTCTGCGATACGACTAGACTGTTGCCGATTGGAGGAAAACATTTTTCGAGTTTGGTAGGTTTTCTTCAATTCGGTTTCGAGGTTTCGGAATTTGACATGACCTGCGTCTAATAAATCACAGCCTTTTTCAGCCCAGCTTTGGTTGAGTGATCGGACAAATTGGCGAGCCTGTTCTTCTTCGGACATTTCACCGTTTGAACCTAGGTAAGCGTCAACTTTGGCTCTGAAGATATCGATATATTCTAATAAGTCTTTTGAGGAGGTTTGAGACAAATCAGTGATTTCGCTTCGTAACATGAGTTTGACCGACTCTGAATTACTGATATGATATTCGCGGATTGTCTTCCACAGTAAAGAAGGCGACGGTATCGTAATTTTAATACCGTTCTCAAATTTTGATATCATTGATATAAATCGAGTGGACTGAATAAGATCAATACTAGATAGTAGCCAGTAAAACAAGGCTTTCTTGGTGGCTGATAAGACTTCGGGGTCCATACCCGTACCTCCAGCATCTTCTGAGTCAAGATAATGGTCATAGGACGTGGCCATTAATCCAAAACGAATCGCGTCGGACCAGGCAACATAGTTGGATGTTGATAACTTGATGTTGATGGTAATCTTATGTAAGATTGAATTCATTTTGATTGACTGACGTTGAGCGGGCGTATCGGTGTCAATTGGTGCAGTGGCAGCCATATTAGCGGATGGGACAGTAGTATGCGCTGAATGAGCTGATTCGGATGAATTTGAATTCTCTGATTGATCTTCTGTCTGAGATCCGGCGTAAGTCTCGTCGGTATCCTCTGAGTATGGAGCTGGGGTGGATGCAGGTGTTGGTAACTGGGAATCGTCAAGTGCTTCTTCTCTTCCTGACATGGATTTGCGTTTCGAATGAAATAACTAAGAGCTGAACCAAGCTCTCGCTACCATGAAAAGCGACAAATCTCCTTTGTCGAGATACCTGAATTCCCGTGACAGTTTCTAGAAGTGAGTCTCAATCACTTCTCGTCACAATACCTGAAACACTAACCTGAATTCCCGTGACAGTTTCTAGAAGTGAGTCTCAATCACTTCTCGTCACAATACCTGAAACACTAACCTATAAGGTTTGTTCAGGTCACAATATAAAATAAGGAAAAGGGTCGACGCGATGAGTTCAGTAAGATTCTTTTCCTTTCCGTAAGAAGACGGATCAATTTCACCTGAATTCCCGTGACAGTTTCTAGAAGTGAGTCTCAATCACTTCTCGTCACAATACCTGAAACACTAACCTATATAGAACAAAAGATAGAAATAGACAAGTACAAAAAGGACACTACTTGTTAGATGAAGAGAATAGAAAGAATAGACCAGTTGACTATGTATCTGACCTATAAGGTTTGTTCAGGTCACAATATAAAATAAGGAAAAGGGTCGACGCGATGAGTTCAGTAAGATCTAGCGTCGACAATGATTCAGATGAAAAAGAAAAAGATAACATCACAGTATGATAATTAGTAACAGTCATATTGAAGATCAAACTAATGGAGAGTAGAGACTATTGATGATAATGTAGTGAAGGGGTTGAACTTACTCTTTTCCTTTCCGTAAGAAGACGGATAAAGGAAAAGAGTATTAGCGCGAAAAGGGGGAGGCGCAATTTAAATAGGGATCATTTAAGTTTGAGTCTGACATCTTAAGTTTGAATAAAACTACTATATTTTAGTATGTAAAGTGATTTGATACTTAGAGTCTTATTCACCTTTCACCACGGCTGAAACCTAGGTACGAGAGACTGAGGTGTCTCTCAACAGGTTCAACCTTGAAGATGTGGTCAACACTTGCTTTGAGAATGACACCCCAGTCAGTGCATAGAGAACAGACCTCAACCCAAACCCTGTCCAGAGACCTTGAGGATCTTGACTCATTGTTTACTGTGACAGATTTGACACCTCACAAGGAAGCCCAGGAGGAGCTAATATCACAGCATTGTCAATGTGAGGGGTAAGGTGCGTAGATGTCTCTTGAGTCTGTCAGCCAAATCAACTAAAAACACTAGCTCAAGTTCACAATCTGATAAGTGTTCATTAGCTGTGTTCAAACCAAACTGGGTTGCCAAAAATCCTGGTACACCCGGTTGACTTCTTGGTTGGAAGGTCAACATGATACACAAACTTACCACCAAAACATGCATCAACTGGGTGTACCAGGAATTTTTAGCAACCAGGTTAAGTTTGAGCGTGACTATTATTGAAAACTGTTCAATGGTGGCTCTCAAACCTGACCCAGTTTCAAAAAACCCGGTTGCCCCAGTTGAGTTTTTGGCTGGGAGCTGTCAACAAATGTCAACTTGATAGACAAAGTTACTGCCAAAAAACAACTGGGTCAACTAAACTTACTGGGTTTTTTGAAAACCGGGGCAGGTTTGAGAGCCACTAATGTGTAACCAAAAAAAGATTTCCTGTTTTTCAAAAAAAGCTCATCATCTCAAATGTACTCCAGAAGAGCACACCTGTTACAAAGACTACACCACAGGGCAATCCATTATCCATACCACCATTTTCTCAAGCAGAGGTTACCACTATTGGGCCATATCAGATTGGTGGTGGATGGCCCCTGCCAGATGACCAGAGCATGGGAATCAAGTGGCAAGATTGGCTGGATGCCATAAGATGGGCCATTTGGAGGCACCTATAGACCATCTCCAAGCAAGGTTTGTAAACTGCAAATCATGGGGGATCTGTTCAAAAAAGTATCTTTATTCTTTCCCATAGCCACAACATCTACCCCATGTGGGTTCAGGCATCATTAAAGTTGACAATCATAGTGAGGAGCTCCCAGACCAAAGGATATTGGATTTTAGGAGCTCTCATGTGCTCAAAATAAGAACCACATCTATGGAGGCAAATGTGAAAAACAAAGTTTAATTTCACAGCCTTTGATTTGGGATTTGTTGAAGACAGTTCCTTTGACCTGTTAGCAGCAGGGCCTGTATGATCTCTTTCCAAACCAACTGAATATGTGATCAGCTGATTTCTGGTCAAAAGATCAGCTTTAACTGCCATAAAACAGCCTGTTAAGTCCTAACCAAACGCTTGAATTTTTGGCCAGTGTTTGACCAGTTTGTGTGAACTATGTCTATGGAGGCAATTGTGAAATTATTTCCACAGCCTTTGATTTGGGATTTGTTGAAGACAGTTCCTTTGACTGTCTTCCCCTAGCCGCAGGGCCTATGATCTCTTGCCAAACCAACTGACCAGGTGATCAGCTGATTTCTGGCCAAAAGATCAGCTTCAACCGCCATAAAACATGCTGTATAGTCCTGACCTTGACCAACCATACTCTGACCAAACGCTGAACTTTTTGGGATTGTGTGATAAGTACAATCACTTTTACACTGCTATTCTCAACTGAATACCCTATGATGTAGCCGTCAAATGACATATGAAAAAAAAACCAGCACCAGATCATCATCATCATTATCCTGTTACCTTCTTATCAATATATCAGTGAATCCTTACAACTTAGCCTTTGTGGCATTGCCAAAGACTTGTAAAGTATACCTATTGTACTTGAAGTTTTATATTTAAAATTACTAAATTGATTTAATACAGGGTATTTAATACACATGATTGTCAACTTTTAAAAAAGGTTTTTACATTCATTCAAAGCAGATTTTTTTTGAGATTTTTTAAACCAAAGTTTCTCCTCTCCTACCCAAAACCATAATCTCAATGAGAAGCAGGGAATAAAAAATCAAAAAATATCTACATGTCAATTCCTAATTTCCTATTAAAGAAAATGGCAGTTGAGTCAAGGTTCAAGATTCCTAATTTTACATTTGAAAACAAGAATGTTCCTTCATCTTCATCTCTATCTTCATCTCTATCTTTAACACTATTTATCTAATAAATGCTTTATCTCTATCTATGTAATAAGTGAAAAAAATGATAAATATTAACCTTTTCTTTTTGGACTTGAATGATCATTCAATTACCTTTTTACCAAAAAAAACCCAAAACCCAAAACCCAAAAGACCAGTGATATTAATTTTTATAAACACTTCATGAAGTTTCAATCATCCGATTTAATAACTCAAAACATTTCGAGTTTTCTTAAATTTTTTATAAAAGAAATCATAACCAATTAGATTTCAAACCAATGAAGTTTTCTACACTTCAATGAATTCCTTTCATGATCATGATCGTCATCATCAACCCCATCCCTTTCTCTTTCCCTTCCTTCACTTTCTCCATTCCCTTCCATTTCCATCTCCCATCCTTCATTCAATTTCTCATCTTCATCTCTACCATTCATCCTCATCAAATCCTTCTCACAAAGTCTTTCATACATAATCAAAAACGGATTAGCCTTCAAAACCTCCCCCAAATCGCTCTTCAAAACACTTTCATCCGAAACCCTAAGCCAAGAATCCTTTCCGATCCTTCTAAATGTAATATAATGTCCAAAAGAATGTGATCCATAATGCACTACCACCGAAGCTAATCGATACCAAACCTGAATCTCTTCTTGATCTTTTGATGATACCTTACAAGAAGAGATAGGTAGATGAGCTAGTTTGTTCAACTTGGAGGTGCTACAGAACCGGTTTAGGTTTAGGTATTCTGGGTATTTCACTTGACAATGATTCTTGAATGAAACACCTCTTGTATAAGCTGTTGATCTAGAAAGATGAAATGTCAAAGACTGAGGTGGCTATATCCAATCCAAAAACAGAATCAGAATTGGAATTTCCTAATGAAAGGAAAAAGTTAATCACTTACTCTTGCAAACATAGTTTGTTTAGTAGTCGTCAAACTAGCGATCCTTTCAACCAATCCTTTCCTATGTTTTTCATTCCCTTCACTTTCATAATCATGATCCAAAACCATCGATTCAATCAACTTGTAATCTTTCTTAATAGCTTGTAATCTTTTCTTTTGATTATTGTTATTGGGTTTTTCTTTACATTCTTCTATTCGTTTCCATATCGTTTCTTTCGTTTTAAGTAATGAACATTTCATACATATATAATCTTCTAGTAATTCTAATTTTGTATACTCCATTAAACATTCTTCTAATGAACAAGTAAGCTACCAACAAAAACCCAAACTTGAATCAGAATTGAATCATTTGTTTTTTTCATTATTTTCCAGAAAAAACACACAGACTTACTTTAGGAGGTACATTTAAAGAAAAATGATCAGCAACTGAATGTCTAAACACCGAAGTCAAACCACAAGTTTCACAAGCGATTCGATTGACCATCAAAGCTCTAAACGGACTTCTACCAACGAATCTAATTTGATTCCTGATATCCTGTTGATCTTTCTCGCATGAAAACCTAAAAGATTCTAATCTAATAGAAGCCATCAAAGATTGAACTTCTGATTCGATAGCATCAATCATGATAATCAAAAACTCTTGAGCGTCTTGTTGTTCAGAATTAAACAAACTATGATGATTGGTATGTTTAAAAAGAGCTTGAGCCACACAAACTGGTCTTAGAACGCTTTGAAAGTCTCGAGGTGTGTTTAATAACCCTAAAAGCTCTCGTAATGAATTGATCACTGGGGTTTGGGGTTCTTGAGCTTTCGTTTCTTGGTATGAATGGATCATGTCTAGGTAAGATGTTAGGTGTGGCATTGAGGCTAGGGATTGAAGAACTGCATTTAGGAAACATGTGTTGGTGGATGAGTTGATCAAACCTGGATAATGTAATTCAGGTTTGATGGTGCAATTTGATGAATGGTTTAACATATCATCATTCACTTGGGTCGATTTCAGTCTTGATTCTTTGATAGATCTTTTAATACTTCTTCGATTCTAAAACAAAAACATCATAAACCAACATCAACATCAAGAACTGACCAAAAAGATCACTAAAAAGAAAATCATAAAAGTTGGTTTGGGTTGGTTTGAATTAAGCTCACATACCACTTCCACATTCAAATGTTCATCAATTCCAACCTCTTCACCTCTAAAAGAAGCTGCAATCCTATTAAAATCAATCCCTCTAACCCCATCCAAAGATTTCACAACCTCACAAAGCCCCTGAAGCCTATCCATCAATCTTAAATACCATCCATCAATCCGACCTAAGAGAATACTCAAAACGATAACTAAAGTGGTCATACTGATTATCGTGATGATGGGTAATCGAGTTGGGTGATCATAGGTTTGAATGAACTCATGAATTGGTGTGGGTAAGAATCGGGTCGAGAATCGATGAAGGGTTTGAAGTAATGAGTCTTGATGATTCGATGAGATTAGAATGAAATCTATTAATTCTTCTTTGGATTGGATAGTCATGCTGTGATGGTTGATAAGTTGAAGTGTTGCTTGGAACATTAAACTTTCTTTTAATCACTCATCGATGTGTATTTTGAGTGATCCGAGAAATATCCTGAAATATCTATACACAGGGATAAAACTGGAATTTCTATTGAACTTGCAAGATTGTATACAGTATCATTCACAAGCCAGAAACACGTTTAAAACTCAACATCAGATTCCCAGACCAATCACAGCTCAAACTCATCAAACTCGGAAACGACTAGTGTCAAAAAATCCGACGGACGATAGGACTTTGTCAAGTTGATCACGGGTCAAACTCAGACGGACTGAGATATTCTGAACACAAGTGAAGATCTTCAATGCGGGGCCCTTTGTAATTCATCTCCCTTGATGGTAGAATTCGACACGCTAAAAGGTTTGCATTAAAGTGATCAGGTTAGGTGCAGATCGAAGGTCAGGACACTCAGGAGTTAAAAAGTATCAACTCAAATACGAACCCCTGGCTCGGGAAGTGAACATGCATAAGTTATCTAATTTCCCCATTTCTTTTGATTGCAAACCTTCGCACATGATTTACTGTAGAGTCACTTTGTTTACACAGAAACTCTTCAAGTGAGAAACCATCATTCACAACAATGTGCCAAGAATACATGTGAACACACACACAGAGAGAAAGAGAGAGAGAAGAAAAAGAGAAAAGAGTATTAAGAAAAAATCCAAGGTGAAGAGAAAAAGAAAAAGAAGTAAATAAATGAAAAAAACAACAAAAAGATCCGATGGAGAATTGGATTTCTTTTGATTTGAAGTTTGATCACTTTTTTTCAGTGAAAAACACAAAATGAAATTGGTATTCACAACACTCTTTCTCTTTTATTTATATATTGTATATATATATCTCAAAAAATAAAAGAAAAAACATCGAATTTAAGAAGACAAAGGAGAATAAGGACGAGTCACAACATGAGTATAGGAGATAGAAAGAAATAGAAACGGACAAGGAGAATCGAAGTGGTGAGAAAGAGGCAAGAGAGAAGAAGAAAGATCAGATCGATTATTTCTTGCCAACTGCTTTGACTTTCTTGGTTGTTGATGAAGTTGTCTTCTTAGCAGGAGCCTATAGGAAAACAAAGTCAGCAAATTGAACGAGGAAGGGAAAAGAGAACAAAGACTGACCTTCTTAACAACACCAGCCTTCTTGGGTCCAGTAGCGACTTTCTTGGTAGAGACCTTCTTTGCAGCTGCTGAGACCTTGGCACCGGCTTTCTTGGTGGCAGCAGATTTAGGCTGAAAACGAAGAAAATCAGATGAATGAAACCAAACCGAGTGGTAAAGTGAAGAGCTTACCTTGGCAGATCCAGCTGGGAGTGTCTTCTTAACACTGGCAGGCTTAGAAGCAGGCTTCTTGACAGCGCTCACAGGCTTCTGTACAGCGAGAAGAGAGAGACAAGGTTTAGCGATAAGGCGAGTAGAGAGAGAGAGAGAGTGAAATCTAAGACGCACATCAGCTTTGACAGCCTTGGCGAGTTTAACTTTACCGCTGGCACCCTTTGGTAAAGAGAAGATGCCTTTCTCAGCACCACGAGTGATAGCCTTGTTGAGTCTTGTGACGTTAGAAGGAGTATCAATGATTTGAAATCGAATGGCAAGGTATCTGAAGAAGACGGAGAAAAGAGTAAAGAGGAGCGCATGTAAGTGTGGCGCACGAGAAAGGATGAATGGTGTACAAGTGTACAGAAGAGATGAACGGACTTTTTGATAGCAGGTCGGCTAACACCGGCACGAACATTCTCCTTATCGTTTGCAATTGCATCTTTGATCATATCTTCGAAAGACAATTTATCGGAAGCAGTCTAGAAAAGTAAAATCGAAGCGATTAGGTTCTTGATTTTCAAAGAGGATCAAGCTGAGGAAAAGAAGGATTTACTTTTGAGACAGATGAAGTCTTCTTGGTAGCAGGAGCTTTCTTGACAGCTGTAGCAGGTTTCTTGGTTGTTGAGGCAGGCTTCTTGGATGATGCAGCCTTTGGCTTAGAAGCAGGTTTAGCTTTTGAAGCAGTTTGAGATTTAGAGACTGGTTTTGAGGCAGATGCACCGGATGACTCGGCAGCGACTTGGACCTCTGACTCGACCATTGGAGGTGAGGCGAGGACTTCGGGAAGAGGAGAAGCAGAGGTAGCAGACATTATGATGTGATTGTTTAAGGAGATGAAGTCTTAAAGCTGAAGATAGAATGTAAGATGAAGAAGATGATAGGGGAGACAAGATATGGTTTGCGTTGATTGAGTTGGTGGTTGAAGTGTGAAGTGATAAGGTAAATTGTAGAATGTGTTTTTAATAAATTCTTGGAAAGTCTGAGGATGAGAAGATGAAGTTGGAAAAGGGGGAAAGACAGAAAAAGGTAGGAGCTTTTAAAGGAAAAAACGGGTAGAACTAAGCTAGACCACCTTCAATCCACTAAAAGATGATCAAACTGAGCCATCAACTTCACTCTCGAGGGGGGTCAAAGGGTCAAATGGTGGTGTGTGTCTGCCAGTTTACTCACCTCGATCGAAAGTCAATTGCACTCACACCATTCACCCAGGGCGAAGTTGACAGCCCCGCAGCGCGCAGATGGCTGAGACTCACTCGCGACGCGTAAAAATTAAGACTCACTAAGTCTGGTTTCTGACCAATCAGATCACTCCATTCTTGAGATCAACACGTTAAATGCTCATCAATTCGAATTTCAACTTGAACGTGTTCACCTTTTTTTGACCATCTCTCTCTTCCTCTTTCTCGCTCCTCATCGCGACTTCACTTCCTTTTTCTTTCCACCATCACCATAGCATCCTTCATCACCATTTACGTCCCTCTTCGAGCCTTACTCAGTCGCGTCGATGGCTGGTCTTCTATCGCGTCACTTCATTTGTCTGTCATCACTTGTTTCGAAGCTGAGCCCCTGAATAACGTGGCGTGTCATTCTCCTCGACCAACACCTATGTAGCCGCCATCTTGATTCACATTGTCGACTTCCACCTCAGCAATCCTCGCCTCCAACCTTCCACTTCCATGACTTTTCATCATCACTTCTTTGTCAATCCTAACTTCACCGACGGACAATCACTGCTCGTCAAGTATGACAACACCTCGATCCCCTCGCCACACAAATCCGTTTCCATGGTTCATTTAATTTTTTTCAATTTTACCTGATTGCACAACCTGCCATCCTGCTCACTGTCTCCTCCTGTAGCAAGTGTTATATCAAGCCAGGCACTGCATCTATGCGCGATTAAAGTGGGGAGCACACCCTTATCTTGGAATCGTCTCCACACCTTGCTTCACCTAAACATGTCACATCTCTCCGACCAGGAGTACACACAACCGTGGGAACCGATTGAAGGAACCTTATGCATGATATCTTCCTTCATCTCGTCTCTGCTCAGCCGGTTCATCTACACAGCCTTCTCATCACCGGTCGAGGCTACTCGGGGAATCTATCTATCAACTCATGCCAGTGAAGACACTCGCCGCGCGAACTCGGCTCATTTAATCCTTTTCGTCCAATGTATTAGTTCAGATGCCTACTATGCGATTTCAGTTGCAATCTTGCTTTAAAATCAAATTCTCTTGGCCCGAATTTAATCAAATGATCCTTTGGACCATACCCAGTTGTGTGTGTGTAAACACCGGATCTGTGACTCATCCCCAAGAGGCTATGGGATATCTCCGATATAATGACGTTGTTTGATTGAGTTTCACTTGAAATTAAGAGAGAATGATGTATTTATCACATTAGCCTTCTTAACCACACCGTTCTATCTACATACACCAAACACCACTCAACCAAGCTGTTCAATGTGATGTGAAGGTCATGCTTTATCAAATGAACACCTATGTCCTACTTTGAAGGAATCAAATTGGTTGATTGCACCACTTTTCACACTCATGAAACTAAACATTCAAATGTTGTTTCATTTCAAGCTAGAGATTTCCTTTGTGTATTTATTTCATTTGCACTCATGTTTCTGTTTTTGTATTGGTATCTAGCTGTATCTCTACTCATACATCAAGGCAATACATTGTCCAACTGAAACAGGGATTCCATATTTCCAGATTCATTTACAATTGATCATGTAATCCTCATCTTTGAGGGCACTTGTCCTTCAAGAGTGAGTTCTTCACAAAGGCCTCATCAGATAATGGCTTTGAATCTGTACATAAGATGAGGGTTGTGGGATATCAATATGCAAATACAAGTGATATTTCAAAGTGATCTACTTTCATTCTCAAAAAGCTTGTCCAAGTTTTCCCAAACAATAGGGCAAAAATCTGAGCAGTTTGGCACGGAAGTTTTGGGAAGCTTTGTAAGAACAACAGTACTATTTGGTGGCTGTGTTAACAATCAAGTACAATTTAATGTGTATCTTTTCAGATTTGCAAATGTGGGGACCTATGTCAGGAAGCAAGTGTTGGGTGCACAGTGAAAGTGGAATAGGGGTTAGAGCATTGCCACCAGATCTGGATCATGATCTGTTGTACAAGACAGTATTTTAGACACATGACCCACTGAGCACCAAGCACTGGTCAGTCTGGAACCCTTGCTCCTCAATCTTACATCTGGCATATTATTCCATGGTTGTCATATTGTGTGATACTTGCAAAATACCTCACTGATTGTGATTGATTGCTGGAACAGGCTGGAACCCTTGCTCCTCAATCTTACACTGACCATATTATTCCATGGTCATCATATTATGTGATACATACCATATACCTCACTGATTGTGATTGATTGCTGGAACAGGCTGGAACCCTTGCTCCTCAATCTTACACCAACCATATTATTCCATGGTCATCATATTGTGTGATACTCACATAATGCCTTGCTGATTGTGATTGATTGAGCAAGCTAATACTATGTAGCTAGGTTCAATTTCAAACAAGCTTTGGACAATGCATACGACAAGGAGATAAGGCATCTTCAATGTCTCAACTTGCTGTGTATGCTGTGAATATACTATCTTGGGGTAAAATGCTAAGCCCTTAATGGACTGAACTCATTATAGGCCAAACTACATAAGCAGAGGCAGGACCACAAGTTGCCACATTCAGATGATTGTTTCATTTTGTTTGAATATCAAGAATCTAATAACCTTGTTTGGAGCAGAGGATGAATAGGATTGTAAATATGGTAGATACAGGTGGGCAGGCAGTAGCTGTGGATTTTTGGATCAGGTATAATGGATATGATGAAAAAGGTATGGTGGAAACAGATTAGAGATGGATAGGATTCAAGGTCAATGAAAACAAAAGAACAGGTTAAGGACAAGAACTATGTAGCTTCATTGGATAATTACACCTATTTATAACCTTTTGAGCAATGGACAGATGTAGGAAGGATAAATGAATATTCATGGTATCACCACAGCTACAATGTCAATAAGATGATTTTAGGAGCAATGGTAGGGTCAATTGGGATAAAGAGTGTTACATAGTTTCTCAGACCTTCAATAAAAGAGGGTTCCAGACAAACCCAAAAAAACCTGGGGGTCTAAGCTGAGAGGCCTGGAGAAGATGAGCAACTGAAAGAGGTGCACAGCTGGCCCACAGTTAGAGTTTCTTTTGTTGGTGGATCAATCTGGACATGTCAAATACACCTTGAGTGACTCTTACATCCATTGACAGTCCAGGATTCTTGGTGACAATGCTCCACAGCATTTTTTTGAGCAATCAGACACTGATTACAATTCAGTCATAATTCAACTGTTGGAGATTGCTCTTCAGCTACTATTGAACAGATCTCAAAGCCATCCAAAAAAAACTTGTGCTTTGATTTGTAAAAAGGGGACTGATGTGAAATGTTCTGGAGCAATCTAAAACTCCAAATATTCAAAACTCTTTACAAGCCAAAGCCATTTACACCACTAAAAACAACACAAGCAAGACTTTGCCACCTTCCACAGATCTATGACTCTGGCTCTTTTATCACAAAAACAACCTCTGGTAACCTAGTAAAGCAACAATCTGTGAATTTCACTTGTGTCTGAAACTCTGACTGAGTTCTCAAAGGCAGAAAACTTGTTTGTCAAGGTTTTGCACATCCTCCAATGTCAATAGTATTACTGAAGAACTTATTGCCCAATCTGAGACCCTTGTTGTGCTTTTTGAGGAGACCCCCCAGGTGTTCTAACTTGTGTCTCATGAAACCTTTATATCACAAGGATAATTCTGAGCCTCAGGATGTTCAAATTATCCAAAACTTGACACTTGGGGTTGTAGTCCAATTCAAGATGTACTCATGATATTGTTGGAGGTTGACACACACTCCATCCTGACAACAATACAGTGGGCATCCACATACATTGTGATACAGTTCAAAGACTCTCAGTAGTATTGCAATTCAGGTATGGTATGTGGTCAGTGTATAAGGTCCACACAGATGTCCCTCTCTAGACAAGAGTGACATATTCCACCAATCACATTCTGATACCCTGTCTAATAGTTGTCAATGATGTGAGTTGTGTGTCCTATTGAACCTTGAGTTACAATCCACTTAGTTATGGTATCAAGGTTTTTGACTTCAACAATCTCAGGCTTTAATTTCCTTGTGCATTGAGTGGACCTTGAAGCTTGAGAGTATGAGGTGTTTTCAATCCCACAATCCCATAGAGAGACACATAGACCCCGTAGGGGTCTAGGACGTCCAGAGCCATCCCATAACTCACATAGCAAGTTAGGCAATGAATTACTTGCCTCTTGCAAAAGGCACACATGGTAAGACTGGTCCATGAAGATGACATGGTGTTGGATACAATGATACCCAGTAATCAAATCTCCTGCTCCAAGAAACCTAGCTTATGATGTCTCATGATTTTGCAAACAAGGCAGTCTTCACAAGTGAAATTTTCCAATGGAAGTGATTGACAAAGACCCAAACCTACCTGACTTATGCATAATTCGCAAAATATTTTCATGTCAACATGTCCAAAACGGCAATGCAACATTTAAGTTACATCAACCTCATTATCACTGCTCATTGCGCTAACTTTTCCCGTACTCTCTGGTTCTACTGATCCACAAATTTTACACAAAATTGTTGATTTTCCATTTGTAAACCTTATTTCCCCAGAACCATCTGGAATAAGAGTCTGGCTGGGGACAACTTTGCAAGCCTTCTGTACCTTTTGTTCACCAAGTAATCCTGCAAAACCCATAATAAACACTGTGTGGAGCAGTCTTGTGCACAATGTACACAACCTCAACCCCACGGGAGTTGTTAAAATTTTATGGAGCAGGGATTGATAGATTTAGAATCTAGAATCTGATCACTATTCCGCAAACTGAATTACTCACCT